GAGGTAGGAGGATCGTAGGTTCAAAGCCAGCCTCGGCAATTTAGCAAGGCCCTAAGCAACTCATCAAGATCGTGTCTCTAAATAAAATACAAAGGTGGGGAGGGATGACTGGGAATGTGATTCATCCCCACATTAAGCGCCCCTGGGTTCAATCCTTAGTACAAAGAATGAAATTAAAATTCTTAACCCTCCCCACTTTAAAACCAATCACATACAATTTTTTTTTAATCTGTTTTGGTGATCAAGTCATCATATATGCTTGATATGTCCCCTCACCTGCCCCTGCCATGAGGATTAAGTTTAAAGAGAAGTGGTTGTGAAATTGTTTTAAAGGGTACCCAGTTATTATTGAATTCATCATAGCTAATCTTTTCTGATAACGAGGGGCTTCCCCCTTCCTATTTCTTGATGTGAAAAACAATAAGGTGTTGTGAAGTATCTTAATGTCTAAAAATATCAGAGCACAATGATCACTTTGTGTTTAATTTCTCATGTTTTGGGGTTCACATTTGGAAAAACTTTTGCTAGCATTTCAGTGGCTAAATGAAGAAAAATGACCTTAAACATTGATTACCAGCTGACTTTGAAATTCTCTTTCTTGCAGAGCCTTCTTTGAGGAATGTGTTCAGAACCTCTTCCACATTTTATATATAAAAAAAAGTCCATTTATGTAAATGAGAAGTGGGCCAAAGGCCACCACTAATGCAGTACAGAACCAGACAGAATTGATCTTCTGGTTATTATCTGTTGAAACAAAGCTTTTACCTTTTTTAAATCCAGGGCCTTGTGCATGCTAGTCCAGCAACTATCACTGAGCTACATCCCCAACCCTTTTAATTCAAAAATTTTTTTTTTTTAGTTGTAGATGGACACAATATTTTTATTTTTATGTGGTGCTGAGGATCGAATCCAGTGCCTCACACATGCTAGGCAAATGCTCTACCACTGAGCCACAACTCCAGCCCCTGCAACCCTTATAATTTTATTTTGAGATGGGGTCTTGTAAAGTTGCTAAGATTGACTTTGAATTTGCAGTCATCCTGCTTCAGCCTCTCAACTAAGTGAGATTATAGAATAGGTATGTGCCATTGTGCTCCACGAGCTTATGCTTATTATAGTGACATTATCATAAATGTTAGTGGTTTAAGAGTCTTGGTACCACTATAGTTTCTTTTGGTACAGAAAGGTGATTATAACATGAAGTCTAGCTGATTCTGACAACTTGATAAGCCCCCCCAACCTCCGCCCCTGCCCCAGAGAGGGAAGTAGTTTTTTGTTTAGGAAATGATAATGTTTTAACTGCTTATCTGTGTCCCACAGCTGGCAGAAAAATGTAGTACACTGATCATAAAGTTACATATTGAACTAAATACTGCCAATTTGTTTTATTGTTTTCAAAGTATAAATAGGGGAAAAAGTCAAACTGTGAACAATCATGCCTGTGAGATCATAGTTGATAGTAAAATGGCAGCTGTGGAAGGATTAGAACTTAAATTTTGTTCATTGCTGCATCACCAGTGTCTGGAGTAGTACCTCCCATCCAAAAATATTTGTTGAATGCATGAATCTTCACCACTTAAGCATAGTAGGTGAATGCATTAATGTTTTTGATTTTCTCCTTGTTTGTATTTTTAGTTATACTTGTCTTAAGCAGTAAAGGTTTTTAGGAAACTTGAGTTTGAGGGAATAAGTTTAAGCCACAGTTGCTTTACCCAGATGATAAATGCTTGTGTTTGACTTAATGCCAATGATTAAATCATCTCTCCACCAAGGATAATCCTACCCAACCTACTACAGGTATCCTAGTTTTGAATATCTAAAAAGTTAACAGACATAAATAAGGAAAAAAGAAAAAAATTATCCCTTCCAGTGGCAGTTGTAAAGCTCTTTTTTTTTTTTTTTAATCTTTTAAAAAATTTATTTATTTATTTATTTTTACATAAGATCTAGCTATGTTGACCAGGATGGTTCTGAACTTTTGGGCTCAAGTGATCCCATCTTAACCTCTAAAGTAGCTGGGACTAAGGTCTATGTCACTGTGCCTTGCTGTAAAATCATTTCTTAAAATTTAATATTCCCGGATTTACTATTTAGTATTGCCTCCACACTCAAGGTGTGTTCCAAATCTGTTCTCTTTTTTTTTTTTTTAACTATTCAGTGCATGTGCAAGAAGATCCATTTGTTTTCATATCCACAGTAAATAAGATTATTTTAAAATTATTTAATGTTGCTTGCCTTCTTAAAGTTTTGAACTCTTAATATCCTGCATTTGAAAAGTGACAGGGCTATTTGAAAATTACTCCATTTTTCAAAATGTATTTCAGTTAAAAAAAAAAAAAGTTCTCCACTGTCCCCCTCTCCCATCCCCCCAAACATTTTAGGATGCCTGGCCTTTGTTTTAGTTTTTCCTGTTTTATTTATTTTTTCAGAATAATAGGCATGAGTTTATTAGAAAGGATAGGAAAGGAGAGAAGGGGACACAGTAAAGGGAGAGAGTAGGTTCTCTCAGGAGAGGGACCCTTGTTTATATTTACTGATTAGTTTTTATGTTTTTTAAAAAGTTGGGGCTGTGGCTGTGGCTCAGTGGTAGCACACTTGCCTGGCATGTGTGAGGCACTGGGTTTGATTCTCAGCACCACATAGATCTTTATTTATTCATTTATTTCTATCAATAACTTAAAAATTTTTTTAAAAAGTTGGGGCTGGAGTTGTGGCTCTGTGATAGAACGCTTGCCTAGCATGGGTGAGGCACTAGGTCAGATCCTCAGCACCACATAAAAGCAAATAAAAAAAAAAGGTTAAATTCTTTAAAAAATGTAATGGCTTCAAAAGATTATATAAATCATCCAGATTGGTGTACTTCTTTGCCCTTGTTGAAGCTAGTAGATGGCACATAGGTAATCACAAACTATACTGAGTAGATACTAAATTTGTCCATTCCTTCTTGGCCTTCTCAGGGCCTCTGTGACTTTCATAGTCAACCTCATTATCTTCCAGAAAGAGAGTTCATTGAGTATATTGTGTTAGGTTTCTTTCTCTGATCAAACTGTGTGATAATATCTCGTGTCATAGTATTTAATATTCAACTATGTTGATTTTTATTCTTTAGGGTTATCTCTTACAATAGATAAAATCATATTCATATGGTGTAATATGTAATGGTAAAAAGCTTACATCTTAATTCAGATAGCTTCAGAATGATTTATTTTATTTTGGGTACTGGGAATTGAACTCAGGGTCACTTGACCACTTTGCCACAGCCTATTTTGTATTTTATTTAGAGACAGGGTCTCATTGAGTTTCTCAGTGCCTTGCTTTTGCTGAGGCTGGCTTTGAACTCGCAATCCTCCTGCCTTGGCCTCTGGAGCTGCTGGCTACTGCATCTGGCCAGAAGGATTTAATTTTTGTATTCCTTTGTGATGGAACTTAAGAGTAACTTTAAGAGTTAATTAACCCCTACCTCACCCAACATAACCATATTAAATTCTCTAGCTCTAAAATTAAGATTATGTTCAAGGCCCCCAAACATAACTACTTTGAGGTACATCTGACTTTTATCATAGGAAGGCGCTCGTCACCTTTTTTTTTTTCTTTTTGTAGATGGACAGAATGCCTTTAATTTATTTGTTTATTTTTATGTGGTACTGGGGATCAAACCCAGGGCCTCACGCTTCTCTCCCACCGAGCTTCTTTTAGACTCATGGCCCTTATGTGACAAATAGTCCTTAGAGACATGGGCAATGTATTTTGCTGGTGGTGTTTCACAGTGATATGCTTATTTCCAGTCAAGAAGATGTTTGATTTTGGTTATTGGGAAGAAGATTCTTTGCTGTAATTGAAGCCTACCTGTCTCAGCCTTTTCGTTGAATCTTTTTATTTGGTTCATTTCTTGGAATTTCATGTGGAAATTTTACATGAACACTTAATGAACATATTTCTGACAGAATAAGTAATTTCTAAAACATGTCAGATAATTCTTAGAATAGATATAGTGATTTTGTGTTGAATTTAATCCCACCCCACAACCCCAATTATCTTTTTTTTTTGCAGGGGGGGGAGGTACTGGGGATTGAACTCAGGAGCACTTGACCACTAGTCACATCCCCATCCCTTTTTTGTACTTTACTTAGAGACAGCATCTCACTGTGTTGCTTAGTACCTAGCTTTTGCTGAGGCTGCCTTTGAACCCCCAGTCCTCCTCTCTCAGCCTCCCAAGCCTCTGGGATTACAAGTGTGCACCATCACACCGAGTCACAACCCTAATTATCTGATGGACATATATCTTCTTGGGAGGTTACTAGAATATCGTACATAGCTGGCTAGCTTCCTTGAATTCCACCCTCATTTTCTAATGAAATAGTTCTTTTTCTGATTCTTTAGAGTTTCAATATTCATTACATTCTTCTTCACATATATGACTTCATGTCACTTGAACCATCATGTCAAAAGAATTGTGTCTATAAATATTGAAATAATCACAAAGGAATTAGGTCAATTAGGTCTTTTATTTCTGTAAAGGTCAGAATTGTTGCCTAGTAGAGAACAAATTCTTTGTGCCCCTTTCTTTTTTCTTAAAAAAGATTCATTGGTAGAAGGCAATTATATGTACCAAAAACTTTAGGAAGTCCAAACCAGAGTAGCTGTGACCTTAGTTTTAACGTACCTGTTCTTTTAAGTTGCGGAGATTTCCCTGACAAGCTGTCAGAAATGATCCTTTCTTGACTGAAGAAATGCCCTAAAATAGGAGGTTCCTGGAAAGCTCTTTTTTGTGTATTTCTACTGTTGCAGAAGGCATGCGAAGGCCTGGCTGGGTCTTAATTCTGTGATTTAAATATTATAAAATTTGTGGTTATTTGCTGCAATAAAGAGTGTTTTCTGAACAGTCTTTATTGCAGCAAGAAAAATCCATCATATGTTCTAACTTGTACAGAAAAATCTGGTAGTGAAATCTATCTTGATTTTTAAAATATTTGTCATTATAAAATGTGTTTCTTTTGCAGATTTCCTTGTGAAACCTTCTGATAGAAAAAGTTCTCAGTACAAACTTCATTTGGTAAGTTATACCCCCCCGTGGTGTGTGTGTGTATGTGTGTGTGTGTGTGTGTGTGTAATTTTTATTTTATTTTTCCTTCACTAGGATACAGGGAGAGTTACTTTTTCCATATGTAATTGTGGTAATGTTCTGTGCCTGGAAATTTGTTTTTAAATTGAAAGTTAATGAGTTGCAGCAAGTATTTCTTCTAAAATAAACAGCCCTTACCAATCTGGAGTTTTAAAATTGAAAACTTGATTCTTTGAATTTTCTTAAAATTGGTATATATTTATATGATAATTAATGCCTCTTAATACTAGAGGTAGTAGTACAAGTGTGAAGTTTAATTAGAAAAACAAGTTCTAAAGATTTTTCTAGATCTTTCTCCAGTGTGGATATTAAGCCGGCGGTATCTGTCCCTTACTGTATCTTTATTATAGCCTTATAAATCTGTTTAATTTAGGGAATTATAATTCCCTTTCATTGAAAAGTTGTGCTTTGCTTTTAAGTTATTAAATCCAAACCATTGTCTTGGCTTATCATTGCCCTAGAACATGGATCCAACTCCTTAGCATGGCATGTAGGGCTCTTTAGAGATGGATTTGAACAAATGTTCTATAGCTAATAACTTCTTCCCTGTGTACCTCGGATGACTCTTGTTATAAACACACTTGCCTACTTCCTGTCTTTTTAATACTGTTCAGTGTTCAGTTTTGTTTTTTTTCCTGCTATATGTACCATTTCTGTTCAATCTTTGTCTCATAGTTCAAGATCTTGCTGGTTTGGCTGGGCATCGTGTCGCATGCCTGTAATCCCAGCAGCTCGGGAGGCTGAGGCAGGAGGATCACAAGTTCAAAGCCAGCAACAGTGAGGCCCTAAGCAACTCAGTGAAATACAAAATAGGGGCTGGGGATGTGGCTCAAGCGGTAACGCGCTTGTCTGGCATGCGCAGGGCTCTGGGTTCGCGATCCTCAGCACCATATAAAAATAAAATAAAGATGTTGTGTCCACCTTAAACTGAAAAATAAATATTAAAAATTCTCTCTCTCTCTCTCTCTCTTAAAAAAAATAGAACTGAGGATGGGACTCAGTGGTTGAGTGTTGCTGAGTGCAATCCCTGGTACCAAAAAAAAAAAAATCTTGCTGGTTCAATAATTAAAAGCTCAAGTCTTCTACAAAGCCCTCCTTGAATGCCCAGGTCAGAATCTTTCTGTCTTTTGCATTACCATGGAATTATATTTCTTTATCTCTTCTCATACTCTGCTTTATTAGTTACATCTGTCAGCTCCTCAGAACTACAAATGCCAAAAGGCAAGCACTAACTTTGTGTTTGCATTATCAGTTTATATACTTCTCACCCAAGTCCTGGATACTAGTGCCTTCTCACTCTAAATCCCTCTTGATTAGAGTTTTGATTTTGGTAAGGAGGGAGGAGAATAGATTGGTTTGAGTAGAAATTGGGTATCATAACCTTTGGTTTAGTTTACTGTGGTTCTTTCTTTGCAAGTATTATACAGTATAGAATCAATGTCTTTGTAGTCCAAGTTGCTCAGTATCTTATTTGGTTGAATTGTTACCGTTTGCAAGTGTGAATTTTTGTTTTTAAGTGAGGAATTGAGTAATTTCTTCTTTAAAAATGCTTGAAATTGGGGTTGGGGCTGTGGCTCAGAGGTAAAGCGCTTGCATTGGATTCGATCCCCAGCACCACATACAAATAAAATAAAGATATTGTGTCCATCTATAACTAAAAAATAAATATATATTTAAAAAAATGCTTGAAATAACAGTTTCATAAAGATTTCTGTTAATTGAATCCTGGAATGGGTACTGTTGCTGGAACTCAGAGAAGCCTGTGAGTTACCACTGTCAAATTCGCATACATATATTAAGAAAAGAGAAATTTGAACTTGATGCTTGGGATAGGAATCTTGTCCTTCATTTGTTTAAAGGGGTTGCTTTATAGAGAAAGGGTTTCTTTTTAGAAAAAGAAGTATAATTCTAAGATATTGGTTGGTTTTCAGTGTTTAATATTTACAGTATCATAATGTAAATGTTTATTTGTTTTTAACTTTAAAATCAATCTACAGAAAAACATCAAAGACATTTACAAAACAATGAATACTGGGTTTGGCCGCCCATTCTATAGGTGATTTCAGAAATGTTGCTTGGATTTATAGAATCCCAGCAGTTTGGGAGGCTGAGGCAGGAGGATTTTGAGTTCAAAGCCAGCCTTGGAAATGGCGAGGCACTAAGCAATTCGGAGAGACCCTATCTCTAAATAATACAAAATAGGGCTGGGAATGTGGCTCAGCAGTTATGTGTTCCTGAGTTCAATCCCTGGTACTCCCTCCAAAATTAATTAATTAATTAATATGTGCCTCAGATAAAAGGAGACCAGACATATGACAAATGGATCCAATGTGATTCTGGAATGGATCCTTTACAGGGGCAGGAGGAATGTGCAGATTTGCTATAAAAGATATAATTAGATAAATTGATGAAAGTAGAATAGAGGGCTGGGATTGTGGCTCAGTGGCAGAGCACTCGCCTAGCACATGCAAGGCCCTGGGTTCGATCCTCAGCACCATGTAAAAATAAAATAAAGGTATTGTGTCCAACTACAATTCAAAAATAAAATATTAAAAAAAGAAAGTAAAATAGAGGTGGTGGATTAAAGTGTTATGTCAGTGTTAAATTTTCTGAATTTGAAAACTAGTGCTATGGTTATACAAAAGATTTTCTTTGCTTTTGAGAAATATACACTGAAAGTAGTAAGAATTAAATAAACATGGTAGTATATGCAACCCTTTAAGGTTCAAAGAAAATAACTGTGTACACATATACAAATATGTGTGGATAAAGATACTTGGGAATTGTCCTGTCCATGTTATTTGTTTTATAATGGAATATTTTATTTAATGAAGTACAATCTTTAGATAGAACTATTTCATATATAGGATTGCATGTAAACAGTATTAATTTTAAATGTACATATAATTAAATGGCACTAATATTGAGCATATCATATATATCATATCCTTTGGTCCTTACAACTCTTTATGTAGCTTTTATTTCTATCGTTTGCACTTCAGTTTCTTCATGTGTAAAAGAAGTATCATGACTTGCCTTCAAGGTCATTGAGTTAGAACAGGTTGAGCAGACCTAATCTGGAAGTTTGATATGCTCCAAAATCAGAAAAATTCTGAAATCTCAAACACTTGTGGTTCCATACATTTTGAATAAGGGATACTCAACCTGTATATGGCAGAATCAGGACTTGTATCTTACCTGCCCTCAGAGCCATTGCTTTACAGACTTAATTGCTTTTTCTTGAGGTCATTATCTTCACACTCTGTCATCAGTTAAATGATAACCTTTTATTAAATAGTTATTTTGAGTTTCTTTTTTAAAAACTTTAGAGGAAAATTTTGTTTTCCTAATGATAAATGTAAATGTATAAAAGTATGAAACCTAAGTCTCTGTTCTTACTATTTCCTAAAGGGATAACCATTGTTAACAATCTTTTTATCATTTTCCTGTATACATATGAACATGCTTCACGATGAATACAGGTGATGCTTTTGGTTATTCTTAACTTTTAAAATTACAGAGGACTTAAAACTTCTACCAAGTTGTTGACTGTGTGGATGAAGAGTAAGTATATGCAGTCTTTGGCAATAATAACTCTTGTGCATCCTTCTCCATACAAAGTTTAGATCTTTTCATCTAGTAAATTCATTTTTTTAAGAATCAAGGCTACAGAAATAGTGACTTGATTGGAATTTAGTTGTGAATGGTTGTTGTGCCTCTTTTGGTGATAATGAAAAGATGGGGAGAGGCTGGCTTTGTGGTTCAGTGGTGGAGCGCTCACCTCGCATGTTCGAGACCCTGGGTTCGATCCTCAGCACCACATAAAAATAAATAAGTGAAATAAAGGTATTGTGTCCAACTACAACTAAAAAATAAGTATTTGAAAATAAAAGATGGAAACAACCTAAATATCTCACCAGTTTATGTGATTATACTGTTTCATATTAGGATATGATGGAATACTGAGCTGCCATCGAAAAACACATACTGACGCAGGAGGGATTTGCTATATATTAATGGAAGAAATTAAAGAACAGAATGGCATTCCCTCCATCCCCCTTTTTGGAATAGATTGTATTTTTTTATATGCATACAGAATTATCTGGATGAAAGTATCAAGTAGTTAAAAGTAGTTATAAATAGGTGTAGGTGAACTGAGGAGCAACAACGAGAAGGGAACTTCTTTTTTAATATTTATTTTTTAGTTTTAAGTGGACACAATATCTTTATTTTTCTGTGGTGCTGAGAATTGAATCCAGTGCCCCACATGCTAGGCGAGCGCGCCACCACTTGAGCCACATCCCCAGCCTTGGTTTTTTTTTTTTTTTTTTAATATTCATTTTTTACTTGTAGTTGTACACAGTATCTTTATTTCACTTATTTATTCTTATGTGGTGCTGAGGATTGAACCCAGGGTCTCGCACGTGTGAGATGAGTGCTCTACCACTGAACCATAACCCCAGCCCCAAACTTCTTGATTTTTAAGAAGCAGTTATTAGGGCTGGGGATGTGGCTCAAGCGGTAGCGCGCTTGCCTGGCATGCGTGCGGCCCGGGTTCGATCCTCAGCACCACATAAAACAAAGATGTTGTGTCCGCCGAAAACTAAAAATAAATAAATAAATATTAAAAAAAAAAAAAAAAAAAAAGAAGCAGTTATTAAAATATAATTCTGGCGAGTGTGGTTCTATAGTCCCAGCTACTTTGGAGGATAAGACAGGAAGATTGCCAGTTTGGGATCTGTCTGGGAAGTTTAGTGAGACCTTGTCTTAAAAGTAAAAATGGAAAAGCGCTGGAAATGTAGCTCAGTGGTAGAGAATCCCTGGGTTTGATTCCCAAGATGGTTTGTGGGATTGGGGGGGAAGATTCACATACTGTGTAGTTCACCATGTAGAGTATAGGATTCAGTGACTCTAGTGTATTCACAAAATTC